CCACTTGTTTGCTGCTCCGTGAAAACAGGAATGAAAAAGTTCATCTTTGTCTATTTCGGAACTCGGAGGCCTCCGTACATCACTTTTTGTAAGGACACTGCAAAAGGTGGTCCCCGCCTCAGAAAAGAGCTTACAGTGCACTTGCAAGATGCCCGCTTAAGGATGGCAAACAACAGCAGGGTCAAAGAAGGGGGAAAAAAGGGGTGTGTGTGTGTATGTATATATATATATATGCATGCGCAGAGTATGTTACAAAAGCACTCAGGATGGACAACATGTTACCTGGGGGAGCGTGAGAGAAGCATAAGCAGCATAAAAAAGCCCAAATACAGCAGTCCAGTATTTCTACTGTTCTTCAGAAATCAGAGAACCTACTTGGCCAAACCAAATGCCATAAGCTATAGAAACATCCGTTTAATTTGCAAAGCACCTTCGGAAATACAAACCTTTGTCCAAGTAAGTACATAGTGGCCTCACATCAAAGACACGGACATCAAGTTTATAAAACAGTGAGATTCACTCACCCATCCTTAAATCTATCCTGGCGAGGTTTTTTCTAGGATTTTACGACAACATTCACTCCCACTTTCAACAGCCACCCTTGGATTTACTTATACAGTTGCAGACATTATGTACCTTAGTTTTAACCTTTTCCAATTCCTTTTGCAAGCGCAGCTTTTCTTCCTCCAGGTCACTGCGGTAGCGCGTGGTAACTTCAAGTGAAGCTTCTGACATAGATTGCTTTTTAAGAGCATCAGCAAGCTCCTGCTGCAGCTGTCTGACCATGCCCTAATGAAACCGTTAAATGCACATGAAAAAAGTTGTAAGAACAAGAACGATGCCTTTACTTTAACCTACTTGATCATACAATTAAGCCCTGTCATTGCATTGAACTCAGCAGTGCAAAATTCTGCCGGCCACCAGCAGGCATCTGCACAGACTATGAATTCCACTTTCTCAGCTGAGCAGCTCCAAACTATCAGCAGCTCTTCATGAGGACTTCTGTTTCCTAACAAATCAAAAAGGCTCGAGTATTATTCTTTTCAGAACAATACATAAGCACACACTGCAGTCATGTATTTTTTTCTACCCAAACCCAAAGCAATCTGTTGTGATGTAAGAGCCATAGTTTAACTGCATCTATTACTCTGATGACTAAAGGCAGGACTTTATATTAGATTGTTCTTTGTTCTATTCCTCCATCATACAAATATAATTAGAATGAATACATGGATCTGAAGGCTCTTTTGAGATACACTGTAAGCATATGTGGAATCACATCCTCTTGCAGTCTTCTTACTGAGTCCATTTTAGAATAACGACTGCCTTTACACTAACAGATTAGGTTAACAAAAATCTGGATAGTTTATATATATATATATATATATAGTATCTTCAAAAGCGACCTGTTATTTTGGTAGTAAGAATACAAAGCAATTCACAGATTAAAATGACTGACAGCATTGCTGGAGTTCTCCCCACCCCCCCTTAAAGTAACTGGGAAGTGAAGAATAAGGTGCTTATCTGACACATGAAGGTATTTACCTCACTCAAAGAGTCTGGATTCGCTATGAAGAAGGAAAGGTAATTTTAAATCACTATTCAAATCAAATCATCAAGGGAGACAAACCTTATACCCATGTCTAAATACTTATTTGCCAGAAAGTAAAGGTAGAGTAGACAAAACACATAAGGCAACTTTTAAGTCATTGATCTACCTGGAACTGGTAGAGAACTTCATCATTAGAGAAGACCCTACCTAATCCTAGGAATGTACATAATAATGCATTCTCACATTCTCTGTAGCTTTTTCAACTGCTACCTATTCCTCACTACCCCCACCTTTATTCTCTTCCTCCCTTCTTCTTGACAAAAACCATCTACCTGCAGAAATGGGAGCAACACTGGTTCATGCATGTTTGAGCAACGTAAAATTATGCCAGCGTTCTGCATAGGAGCATGGTTCATACTCACGTGTGGTGTGAATTTGCAGAAAGAGTTTAACTGATTTCCCCACTAGCCTTGTGTCCAGCTAATTAGTCTTTCACAGAGCCACAAAGAAAGAACACATTTAAATATGGCTACACATCACAAAACAGAGAAAAGAAAGCTTAGGCCAGCATCTGAAATGATCTTCACAAGGAGCAGGCAGGCCCCTTAGACCCCAAACCACATACATAAATTAACACCTGGACACTACTAACACCCTTCGGTTTTGATAGCAACTTATAGAGAAGCAATTTTTTTTTCTCCGTAGGACCTTAAAAACCATCCCCCATCACTTCACTTGTCCACATCTTCATTTCTCAGCCCTTGCATATTGGATGGTTCTTCCTTTTATACCACTCTTATTCGTGTCATCGGTGCAATACATACATAAAACCCATGAAATACATAAAACCATTCTAAAGGACATAAAATGGACTAAGGAAAGGAGATGAAAGAAGCTCTACAGAAGAATCATCTTTCTCGATCAAAGCTTAGACTTGGATACCTTTTTTCTGTTCTTTGCTCAGATCTGAGCAGTAGCACCCTGTTTGCCAAAACCTTCCACAAATCCAAGAGAAACACGACAAAACAGAACAAATGAGCATTACTTGGTCCCACGCATATAACCTATACCTGGTATGTTTTAGAAACATAAAATAATTTCAAGAACTGAAAAACTTTAAATTGTTCTAAGTGGATACTTTACCTCTCTTTCTACTTTGTCCGTCTCATATTTAAAGACTTGTTCTCTCAAAGCAGTACACTTGGCATTTAATTCCTTGTTTCTCTCTTCCACTAGAGAAACTTGCTTTTCAGTATCAGCTCTGAGTTTGTTGAACATATCATTAAACCGGTCCTGCACATCGTTCACTACTTTCTCTTTGATGATCCCCTTATTCTGCACATCTTCCAGTTGCTGACGAAGCAAAAGGTTTTCGCTCTGGAGCTGGGCCAATCGCTCCTGCATGGATTCCTGTTTTATTACAAATTTGCTCACTTGATCTTTCTCAAGTTGTCGAGCATGATCACACTCCTTTGCCTGAGCCTGGGCTTGACTTAATTCCTTTTGTGTCATTTCTAAGAGCAACGTTTTTTCTCTGAGTGTTTGTTTCAACTGATGAAGCTCGTTTTCTAGACTATTAGCTTTGCTTTCAGCTTTACTCAGCTGCTGAGACAAGCTCTTGTTGGTTTCTTGCACATTAGAGAGGTCGTGATGGAGTTTGTCTTGCAAGCGAAGCCATTCATCACGTTCTCTCTGAAATGTTCGTTCAATGTCAGTTTTCGATGACTGGTGACGTTCAAGTTCTTGCACAGCAGCATTCAGGCGGGAACGAAATGATTCCATTTCCGTCTCTAGTCTGTCTTTACTTTCTTTTGTCTGCTCAAGTTTGGAAGTCAGCACCGCAGATTCCGTCTTTAGTAAGTTCAGCTGTCCGTCGTACTGAAAAACTGTTTGCGTTAAGGCTTCCTCATTCAGTTTAAGTTCTTTTTTGAGATCTTCATTTTTTTCTTTCAAAGTCTCATTTTCCTCTAAATATTTTCCTTCTTCCTCCTGGTGCCTAAGTCTTACTTGATCAAGGTCTAGCCTTAGCATAGCAATCTCATCTTGTAGTAACTGGTTTTTGTGCAACAGGTCCTTTTCTCTCTCAGTGTCAGATTCCTGAATGACAGGGACCAGGAATAAATAGCCAGTTGGGAAATGAATCTACAAAAACACTTCAGCAAACAACAGCATTTTAACATTTCTCATACTGAAGCATGACTTCAAAGATGAGAGTGAAATTTCAGGTAATACATAAACTACTGTGTGAACCCATGCACGTGTACAATGTACACACACACCTGAAGTGTAACATACCCTTACAACGTAAACGAACGTCCCAAAGAAACAATGCCTTTTTTATTTTTTTTTTTAAGCCAGCAACCAAATAATAAAACTATTAAAAATATCTCAAGTATAAAGCTTTGAAAGTAACAGTGTTTTATCATATGTGCATGCTTTAAAACATTCCCTTTGAGGTTAATTTAGCCCCGGTACAACTCCAGTAAGAAACAGGGCTAAAAAAGGGTATTTTCCTTCTTGTGCCATCTTTCATCTTCTATCAGTTGTCAAGTATCTTCTTAACACTTATCCCTTCTCTAAGCTGTGCAACTTAATCATCCCTGGAATGCAGTAGTCTTGTATATTTCCTGTTTATTAGATAAATAACTTTTTTTCAAATATACATATTCACCCTATAGTTATTGGGCAGCACAGCCAAGAACAAACAATTCGTCCAAGCACTGGCCACTCTCAGTAAATTCAGTAAACTCTTTACAATTTTTTTTTTTTTTGATACAGTGTTTATGATTGCTTTTCCTCCTCCAATTATTCTAACTCCTACAGACAGTTTAATTCATTGCTGATATTCCTTCCTAAAATTTAAGTCATTAAAAAAGCCAAGTAATGGGAACACAAAGAGTGAATATCAAACAACTTTCTTCCTGGCCCTTGACATAGCTAGGTGTTTCACTGCTAGAGATCTTAAAAAGTGAGGACAAAATGTCTATGAAATGAAAAATAACAGATAGCTTAAGAAGCAGGGTAAAAAGTGCAGTTCAGGTACATACAGGCCTGATGCTGCTTTCCAGAACTTTTAAAGACATAAGAGAAAACAGAAAAGGTATTTACAGAGTTAAGTTACATTAGTAAACTGTACATAACCCATCAATAAATACAAAAAATAGATAAGACTTATGATGACTTTAGAATGAACGCGGTGAAATTTAATTAATTAGAAAAAGACCTGCTTACCCCTGAATTCTTTCCTACAGTTATTCTTGTCTCTTCTTCTAGTTCCTTCTGCCTCCAAAGGTGGTTGTTCAAAATTCCTACCTGCAGGGCTCTGGCACTCTTTTCCTGAGAGAGCTGTCTCTGTGTTTCATCACGCTCTTCTTCAACCTACAGTAATACAATTAAACTACTTTCATCTTGAGGGAAAATATCAGAGCTAGCAATATCTTCCCATTCTCCTTTGTATTCTCTCAACTATTTTTGCTTCCCCACAGTTATGATAATCCATCTATAAATAACCAATTTTAATATTCTTCTGAAAAATTAAGAATAAAGACAGAATGTATTATTTTCTAAAGTACTACAAAGTCAGGCTTTGCCTGAAATGCAAATGAAACTGAAGTTTTGAAAAAAAGAAATCATGAACTTGCAAAGAAAAAACCCACCCGACCAACAAAAAACCCAGACCACTTGTGAACCAACTGTTCTCAACTATCCTCAAAATTTGGCAACAGTTATCCAATGCTCATTCCATGAACAAAATACCTCCTTCTTTAGGCATATGGGAATACAATGCCATTGAAAAGAATCAGAAAATAAGAATACAAGCCTTTAGCTCATTATTTAATATACCTGTTTCAGGAGCTTTCTCAGTGTTAACAACTCCATCTCTAAATCCCTTGCGTGAAACTCAAGTTGCTGTTTCTCCTCTATCTCTTTACAATACTCATCTTCTTTCCTTCTTAGTTTTTCTCTTGTTTTCTCATACAGCGTTTCTACTCTGAGCCTCTTTTCCTCTTCTCGTTTCAAAGTAAATCTAGGATTTAACAGAATATCTGAGAAAATAAAGCACTGATATAAAAATTAGATATTCCACATTATGAACTTGCAAAGACAAACCATAGAAATGTTAATAAATCTTTTCAGAGTTCATATTTTTACTGTATTTTTTACTTTTTAAAGAATTTTAACTTCATTCCATTAACCATGGCATCAGTTGCACAAGACGGGGAAATAAACCATTGAGTGATTTATGATTTATTTGTAGGTAAGTTTACACAGGTAAATACTTAGTAGTCTGCACATTTCTATAATTCTTAGTGTTCAGCACTGTCCCACATGACATTCTTGACTCTAAACTGAAGAGACGTGGATTTGATGGATTGACCACTTGGTGGATCAGGAATTGCCTAGATAGCAGCACTCAAAGAGTCACGGTCAGTGGCTCAATGTCTGAGTGGAGACCAGTGACAAGTAGCATGCCTTAGGGGTGGGTATTGGGACCGGTGCTGTTTAACATCTTTGTCGGTGACACGGACAGTAGGATTCAGTGCACCCTCCGCAACTCTGCCAACAACACCAAGCTCTGTGGTGCGGTTGACGCGCTGGAGAGAAGGGGTGCCATCCAGAGGGACCTGGACAGGCTGGAGAGGTGGGCCCGAGGGTGGTGAGCCACGGGAACAGGTTGCCCAGAGAAGCTGCGGCTGCCCCCTCTCTGGCAGTGTTCAAGGGCAGGTCCCTGCCCCTGGCAGGGGGGCTGGAACTGGATGATCTTTAAGGTCCCTTCCAACCCAAAGCATTCTATGATTCTGTGATACACATTTTCTCAGTATGCTGAGCATTGCCTATTTATTACAGATTCAGTGACTGCAAATAACACTGATGAAGCAGCACATCACCGTCTATGACAGACCCAGCAATTCTTTAGCAAGCCTTTTGTAAGTCTAAAGCAACTACCTGACCACAGGAAGAGGAAGCAGCTTCTATTCACTCAAGAATGAGGTCAGTGTTCGAAAATAGTTTTAGAAATGCATAGGGTTTAAGCTTAACACAATTAAAAATAGTTCTAAAATGCAATGGATCTGCATCTGGGAGAAACAACAGCGATTTAATTTTGAAGCTAATTTATAATGAATGCCTTAGGGAATGTCAAGTTCTTTATTAACTGAAACAATCAGCAATAAGCACTAGCGGCCTAAAAAATGGTCCACAGTGTGTTCACAGCACCCAGACAAGAAAGCAGTTTTATGTTTGATAATTATTTTGAATATTTTTTCTGATATCCTTGCAATGGTTGACAAGAAAAAAAAAATCAAGTATTATCATAAGGGAAGAGCTGCCAATGGGACATCTGCTTTAGAAATTCTGGGAAACAAGTATCAGCAACCATTCATAAACTATTTGAAAGACTGACAGTACCATTTATATTTGAATGGTTTACATTACAAAAAAAAAGCTTTACATATAATTTTTAGTGCAATTTCACAAAAAATACAGCTTTTATAAGTGTAAGTTTCATTTATTTAGAATGGAAATATTAATTCTTTGTAATCAATAGATATTTGAGAATTTTAAAAACCAGCAGGATTTTTTGAATCAAATCTAAGCCAAGTTTCCTCATGATCCCCTTCCACGTACGGGGAGGCACAGCTTCTCAGAGCTCAGTTCCCTCAGACTCTCCTCACAGGGGTGGTGTTTCTGCTCCCTGACCAGCTTGGTAGCTTTCTGCTGAACTCACACATATCAATTAAGATCTCTCTTGTACTGGGAGACCAAAAACTGGACCCACTGCTCTAGAAACAGTCCAGCAAGTGCTGAGCAAGGGTGGACAATCCCTCCCCTCGGTCTCCTGGCTCTGCTGCTCTTAATACAGCCCAGAATGCTGTTGGTCGTCTCAGCAAGCAGCTCACGTTGACGTTACTCTCTGCCCAGACTGCCAGGGCCTTCTCAGCAAGCCCCCCAGCCAGGCCATCCCAGGGTACATCATCACAAGAGGACTTCCCTTCCCGAGTGCAGGGCTTTGCATTTATTCTCGCTGAATTTCATACGGTGCCTGCTGGCCACTCTTGTCGGAGGTGATGTGAATAGTGACTAAAAACCTCACATCATCCAGGTCTAGCTCAGGAGTATGGGGAAAGACGCAATCCTGAATTCTACTTTCTTTCAAATAGACAGACTAACAAATGCTCTAAGCTCTGTTTTGAGTTGCATTCTGTGGAGTTACCAGAATCCATAATATTATACACCAGCAGAAGCTGCAAAGACAAAATCCACAAAATACAAATCTTATAAACCCTTGTGAGTCCCATTTTCCCACATCTACTCTTTGTTCTCTTCTCTTGCTATTAAAAAAAAAAAAGATGAGTTAAAACAATACCTAGAAGATTTTAAATGGAGCTAATACCTAGGCATTTTTCCCCCTTTTGACATTACGTCCTTTATAGCATGGCTTGCCCATGGGATTCCAATAACCCAACCCAAAAGTCTAGAAACTTCCCATCCTGTCACCTCTACCATCAGCATCTTCTGCAGCATGAACATTCACAGGGTAACGTACATCATCAGAATGCAAGGTTACATACTTAAGGCTCTGGATATCACTTTTCCATTCCACTTCTTGGTGAGACAAGATGGATTTCAGATCTCGAGTCTCTTCCACTATTAATTGTGACTCCTCCTTTTCACTTTCCAATTTCCTTACTTCTCTCCAGACAGCTGCATACCGATTTTTTTCACGTTCTATTATTTGTTCATATTCAAGAAGTATGTTTTGAATTTTCAACAAAACAGCAGAACCTATTTTGAGATAGAAAAGACACAAAGCTGCAGATATGCACAAACACTCTGCAACGTATAAATTATTCAACACTTTGCTGTATTGAGCATAGGTGGCAAAGTTTTGGTAGAGTGAGAGAAATAGCCTTGTGAACACCATGGTTAGTGAAGAAGGAGGGGGAGGAGGTCCTCCAGGTGCTAGAGCAGAGATTCCCCTGCAGCCCCTGGAGAGCGCCATGCTGGAGCAGATATCCACAATGCAGTGCTGTGGAGGACTCCATGCCAGAGCAGGTGGCTATTTCCTGAAGCACCTGTGGCCCATGGAGAGCCCAGGCTGGAGCACATTTTTGCTGAAGGACTGCAGTCCACGGAAGGACTCACACTGGAGCAGGGAAAGGTGCGAGGAAAAAGGAGCGGCAAGAGGGAAACCGGTATGTCCTGTCTGCAGACCCCACCATGCCTGCACTGCTTAGGAAGGGGTAGAGGAGTCGTGAGTGAAGTTAAGCCTCAGATGGGGGCAGCGGGGAGGTGTTCTTTTGATTTTGTCTTTGTTTCTTGCTATCTAAATCTGTATTAATTGGTAACAAATTCAGTTAAGTCTCTCCAAGTGGAGTCTGTTTTGCCTGTGACAGTAACTGGTAAGCGACAGCCCTGTCTTTATATTGATCCTCAAGGTTTTTCATCCTACTTTGTCCTGTTGAGGAGGGGAAATGAGACAACAGCTGAGTGGGAGTTTGGCCTTTAGCCCAGGTTAACCCACATTTGCCTAATGCAATTTTAGCATAGTTTAATAGGCAGAGTAAGCAATGCTTATGTTTATATAATGCTTTGTGCCTAGATACAAGCATCTTATGACAGTTGATTATATGTATTTTAAGCAAAGCTGTTATTTGCTGCACTCTTTGTCATTGCCTATTGGGGGATACAAAGAAGGAAAAAGAAGATCCATCTTAACTAGCTTTTGATGACCAGCTTTGAAGGAGCAGAACTGTACTTTGCAAGAAGCTGCTTCTCCAGCTCTGACTAGACAAAGAACCAATGACAAAGCAAGGCATGTTTGCTGACAACACAGACAGACATCTAAGGTTAGGCGAGATGCATTTCACATCTTGAGGGGGGTATCTGATCAGAAAGGAACACTAGATCAAAATAGAAACCTACAATACCTAGGAGTGCATACAAAGAAATCGTGTTCTAAAAGAGGTACTCGTAACAGCTGAAGACAAAGTGACTTGATAACCTACCTGTATGATCCACACTAAGCTGTTCTAATAGCAACATAGCCTCTTTGTAGGTCGAAGTTGGTAATTCAGCATCCTCTGAAGTTGTGTCAGATGACTGAGTTGAGTCAAGGTCATCAGTTACATCCATCTGTATACTGACCTACAAACAATACAGTATTTTCTGTATATGACCATATAGTATTACAGGTCATTACAAAGGCATGAATGAATCACTCTCATGCACAGCCCACGGATTTGGCTCAAATATGATAAAGCTGCATACTAGCAGCTATTTGTGCACCTGTTGATCACTACATAAACACTGTTCCCCTCTAAGTGATTAAAAGCTGATACAAACTATTCATCAAGAAACTAATTTTACAGTACCTTGCTCTTTTCAGTCCCTGTTTTTGCTGCAGGTCTGGAAAACAAAAATACATTTCAGTACTGGAATGCTAGTAGTGCATTATGAAGAATGTCTAAAGTTGCTCTGAAAACTTAATTTCAGAATTGAATTAAACTAAAATTTATTATAAGAATTTTGTTAGATGTATACTAACATCTATACTGAAAAAAGTATACTATTATACCTATTGCTGAACAGTGCTTGTACAGTGTCAACTCCTTCTGTTTCTCACTTGCCCTTTTAGAAGTCTTTCCTCTCCTTTTTAAAAAAATATAAAATACATATATGTATATATATGTGTGCACACACACACTCAGGTAATTCAGAATTGATGTGCACATCTGACCTTACAATTAAGTTTGCCAGTATGTTCAAAGCACTCCAAGCAAAAAGGAAGTATTGTTGAACACCAAGGGCATCAGGTACTACTGTCACATGAAAGAATAAGAATCGTTGTACACAACTGGTTTACAAAACTTATCTTTAGCTTTCAGGTCAATCTTTATCATGAGACAAGTTTTATTTATAACATTCCTTCTATCCAGTACCTTCCTTCGTCTTGAGATGTTTCACTGAAAGTGCTGTCATCCAGTACTTGACAATTATTCCCATTGGAAGAGCTCATCTGCTGATTAGCCTTCTGCTCTGAAGTCTGTCTTTTAGTTTTCTTTGCAACTTTGGCATTCAGGGCAAATTTACTACGTTGAACAGAAAGAAAAACACCACAAAAACCCCCACCAATTGAGTAGCTTTACATAAATATTTCTGTGAAACAGACATGCTTTCTATGACAGTCCAAAACCAAATGAGATTGAAAATATCTATTACAAAACACAGACTTGACTCGAAAGATCCTGGAAGATACTCAAGTATTTTAAAAAAACCTTTCCCCTAGGAATCAGGGGGAAATGTGGAATCGGAGGTGGATTCTGGTAAGCTGGAACACATCTAATACCCCCATTAGAGGAATTATTTACAGCAGAGATTCTCCTGAAGGACAGACAGGAAACATCTCCTGCTTAGAGGTACATAAAAATATCTGTGGCTTCCTCAAGCTTTTGAGATTGGTTTTGAGATTTCCCCTTTTCCTGACAAAGAGGATCTGAACTTAATGGAAACACCAACTGCATGGTGATCACTAAATCACCTAGAAAAGGGAGGAAGCAAAGTAAACTGCAAGTTCCTACTTTTCTTTTCTGGATGCCATTTCCTACAAAACCACCTGTTTTTTTCCAGTCTTCAAGTCTGGTT